GTTGGTGAGTGCACATCAAGGAGTTTCCTCCATGCCTTGGGTCCACCTTCGGGATCACCCAATAGGCCTTTGATATGGTCAAGTTGGCGTCCACCAACCGCTTGGACCATGAGCATATACGCATCAAATGAGCGTTTTATCCATGCCCCTTTCAGGTCCACGGCCTCTAGCATCTTTTCCTTTCCTTCCACCACATCCAATAACTTGTATTGGGTAAACATGAGCCTCATACGAAAGCTCCAGTGCTCGTAATCCTCCCCCATGAACTTCTCAATAGAGAAGACTTTCATAGGATCCACAGATATAGGAGATGGTGTAGTGGAAGAGGGTAGCACAGGGGTAGTTGGTTGGTGAGTACCTACTCCACCACCAACTACTCTCACTTTCTCTCCAGCCTCTCCACTCCCAGCCATTCCATCATTAGCACCTCTGGAGTCCGTCTCAGCCATCACAAGGCTTTAGGCACGGTGGAATCTTGAAAAAACGCTTGGACAGGATTCTGCCAGAAATTTCGCTTTTACGAAAAACGCCGTCGCAGTAAGCACACTTCGACTTAGGACACGATTCAACCACCAATCGAAAGATCGCGAGCAGAGCTACAATAAAATGGTCTCACTCATCAATATTGGTTGAGAATCGATGACGATTCGTCGCTTCAAAGTCAACCACCAGCTCTAATACCACTTGTTGCATAGGATCCGGTCAATTTGAAGACTTACGACGATCTCAAATCTCAACTAAACGCAAATCCGCTCGGTAGGATTACGCGCGTTATTCTTAGCTACCATTTGCAAATTGAATCACTTGATTTCATGGTCTAGGGAGTGAGAACGAATCAAAATCGTATAGCTGCTGCTTCCACTAGAAAGGATGGAGGAAGAACAAACATTAGAATAGAATGAGGAGTTGGGGGGGTTTGAAGAGAACCTGTGAGAGAAGGCTCTCCAAATGCTTAGGAAAGATGGTGGGAACCTTCTTAGCATCAAAGATGCAATCCTCATGATGAGGTCCTTGAAGTGTTACATGCAAAATCCAATCCAATTGGATTTTGCCTAGGTGTTGCAACATTTGCAACCCATGCTAGAAACTTCTAGCCACCCCAATCCAAAAGTCAAAGTTGCCTTCCTAACCACCCAACCAAAGATCCCTTTATAGTCATGACCCAATAATCGCCCACTTTAGTTAATATCCCAAATTAAGATAGAATTCCCAAATCTTGGAAATCTTGTAACTTGGGCGATCTTGGTCGGAATAAGGCGATCTTGGTATCGTTGGAAAGCTCTGGATTTCTCCTGCGCGATCAAGCATTTAGACTTGGAGAAAAACACAGAGGTGGTAAAATCCAACAGCCATGCATAATGATTTATGCTCATGCAAATGACGCAAGCATGGATTGCACGAGCACACAGCAGGACGTTAGGATGACATGCACTCATACTGACGTGCATACAACAGTAACTCTAAGAGAGAGAGATGGTGCGGGCGGAGCGGTCATGAGTGATGGTCATACGGAGGTAGTGCTGCAGCTCTCCCAGGTCCTTGCACTTGAGACGGCTGCCCAGCTCGGCTTTGACACTCTCCAGCTCAGCAAGGTCGGCAGTGAGCAGGATCTTGTCGTCAATATAGATGAGGATGTAGAAGGGGGAGGAGGAGGTGCGGAGGAAGAGGCTGGCGTCAGAGCGGGAGGTGCGAAACCCAATCTTGGCAAGGGTGGCTGCAAGCTTGGCATGCCACTCCCTGGGGGCCTGGCGGAGCCCGTACACTGGTCGACGCAGCTGCCAGACGGAGTCGGCGGGGAAGGGGAGGTGAAAGCCTGATGGGCACTCCATGTAGATCAGTTCACGTAGCACGCCTTGCAGGAAGGCGTTGGAGACATCCATCGAGTGGATCTCCATGTTGAGGCAAGCGGCAAGGTCAAATACGACGCGAACGTAGCAGGCTTGCGGTGGGGGAGAAGGTGTCAAAGAAGTCAACAGCATACCGCTGCGTGAAACTATTGGCGAAGTAACGAGCCTTGTAGACAGGCGGCTCTCTTGGCAGCTATTTGACGCGAAAAACCCACTTCCCCTTTACCACGTTCGTAGAGGAGGGAGAGCGAGATACATCAACGAAGGAGGAGTTGGTGACAAATGCTTCAAGCTCCTTGATGATGGCGTTGAGCCAGAGTGGAGCGTCAGCAAGCCATGGCCTCCTCATACGTGGTAGGGATGAGAATGGAGGGATCAGAGGAGAAGACAAAGACTGGTGTCCTAGATAGGTCGAAGGTAATGGGTAGAAGGGAAGGGTCACAGAGGTGGAGGTCAAGGAACTCCTCATGGGAGTCCTCAGAGAGGGAGGTGTGGAAGGCGCAGATGGTCGTTGGTGCTGCTGCACGTGCGGCTGCCGGTGCCGCTGCTGGTGACGCTGCTGGTGCCGCTACATGTGCCGTTGCTGGTGCCGCTGCTGGTACCGCTGCTGGTGCCGCTGCTGGTGTGGCTGCTGGTGCCACTGGTGCCGTTGCACGTGCCGCTGCTGGTGCCGCTGCTGGTGCCGCTGTCGGTGCCGCTGCTGGTGCCGCTGCCGGTGCCGCTGCTGGTGCGGCTGCTGGCGCTGGTGAAGGAGAGGTGGCTGAGGGGGCTATTGTAGGAGGGGCTTGATGCAAGATAGCCTAGAAGAAGTGGTGGAGGGGGGAGAGAGAAGGGAGGGTAGAGGTAGAGAGGGAAATAGGGGGTGGTGCACCAAGGATAATGTCACGTGACCTGGTGTGGGGATACCGGGTGAGTGTGGTGTGGGGAGGGGGCGAGGGAGAGGAGGGAGGGGAGGGAGGGGGGGGAGGGGCGCCGAGGGAGGACTTAGTGGGGGAGACAGGGGAAGAAAGAGGGTCAGGATCAGAGATGTCACCAGATGAGGGAGGGGCACCATGGGACTTGGACGGGGAGGGAGGGGCACCATGGGACTTGGACGGGGGGGGAGGGGGGGTGGGAGGATGGGGGGAGGAGAGAGTAGTGGGGGAGGGGTGGTGTCAGACCAGACAAGGGGGCGGGTGAGAGGGGGGAGTGGGTTAGTGGACGGAGGAGAGTAGTATGGAGTGGACTTGCCAAAGACTACATCCCTACAGCGAATTGTTAGAGGCCGAAAAAAAAACTCAAAATCGTTCGTCTAGAATTCTGGACTGAAAAGTCGACTTCACAAGAAACGCCGCCAACGAAAAAATAACCATTGGAATTCTCTCAAACTAGTGTATAATGTATCCCTTAACCGTGGCTATCTTTCCCAATTTGAATCGTGTCAAAATATGGAGTATAACTCGAGTTATGATTATCGGCGCACTAGGGGGTATGCTGCCACACAAACTTAACTCAATTTCAATCAACTTAAAGGTCCACACACAAGAAAGTTGGAGTAGCAATAAACCAGGTAGGAGGGAAGAGGAGGACGAGAGGGAAGGTCTCAAGGGAGTCCCCAACCAAGGAAACCCCATATTTCATACAAATCCCCTCTCTATAGGCACCCCAACTTTGACATTTGTCACTTTCCCAACCCATGCCATCCACCTCAACCCACTTGGCCACACTTGCCAACCTGGTTTGGTTTCTCCCAACCTAGTTTGGTTTCTTCCAACCACTTGGCATCATCTACAGTAATGGTGACGAATTTCCCAACCCCCAAAAGTCTATACCCCATATTGAGCCAGTCCACAAATTCCCATGGTCGCGCAACCAAATATGAAAAGCATACGAACTCCAACGTTCGTAAATTTTTTGGTCGTGCTCCGATTGCGACGATTCTTGGTTCATTTGAAAGCCCTTGAACAGAGGAGTCATTTCACATATCGGCTCAATCAAAGTATCATTCACACATACTCAGAGAATCCAAACCACACGAAACACAAATTCTTGCACACGCTCACACAACGCATGCAACGCACGAACATATGATGGGAGGCAGACAGACGTGAATGCAAATGATTGCATCACACAACAAACTCCCCCTCTGGCTGCCTACCATCATCCCACATGCCATAGTTCAAGCATGCACATTCAATGCACACTCATTCCAGCAAGCTTTGTCCCTTTCCAATGCTCAGGATCAGCCAGGCGCTTGGTGAGAATGTCAGCCGCCTGCTGCTGGGTCTTCACAATCTCCAACCGCACATCCTTTTCCAGGAGCCTCCTCACCCAATGCCACTTAGGCCTAATCTGTTTGGTCAGCCCATGAAGACAAGCATTCTTGGCCAACTTCACTGCCGACTCGTTATCACATAACATCATAGTCGGCTCCCTCCGACCAACACCGATCTCCTCCAACAAACGCCTCAGCCACACCACCTCCTTGGCCCCATGATGTAAGGCCATGTACTTGGTCTCACACGAGGACAGCCCCACCTCGTTCTGCTTCTTGCTGCGCCAGCTCACTGCACCACCTCCGAATAGGCTCACATAGCCTCCAATGCTGGTGCCATCCGCCTTCACAGAGTTTAGCTAGCGTCGGTGTAGAAAATGAAGAGCATCTCCCCCTTGCTCAAATCAGCTGCACCCCTTTGTAGCCTCTGTCTCACAGCACTGTACTCCAAGCCCACTGATGCTGTAGCACTCACATAGCGGACCAACCTCTTGGCCGCTTCCAGCTGCTCATGACTGGGGCAGGAGATCACACTTGCAAGCCTGGATGTAGCAAAGGCCAATGTCAGGTCGTGTGTGGTTAGCCGCATAGTTGAGTGCCCCAACCATGGAGTAAAATAGCTTCCTGTCGCTCTCACCCACCACCTCCTCATCAGCATAGGGCTCCACTGTGAACCTTGAGGGCAGTGGGGTTGCTAGCTTTCCTCCATCTTGCAGCCCATAATTCTCAACACTCCCTTATCAATGTCCCTCTCCACATGCATCCCCAAGTAGTACTTTACGTCTCTCATCTTGGAACACTTGAACTGCATCTCCAGCATCTCCTCCGCATGGTCAATCATTGCAAATTCCTCCTCCTGCTCCTCCTCCCAGTCTAGGTAGGATACCCGCTCCCCTACCTTACTGCATTTGATTCAACTGCATGGTCAACCGCTCCAACTGCTTCGTAATCTTCTCCACATCCGACTCTTCCTTTACCACCACCTTCTTTTCCTCCTCGATCTCCTGCGGCTGCACGCAGGTCACGAAGTACTTAGCAGCTTCCTCTACTGCCTCCAATGATACTGGCCTCCCACCCAACACCTTCTCCCTCAACCCTGGATCCTCCAAACCTTCAATAAATGCTCTCACCATCATGGCGACCGCATAGTCTTTAATGTAGGAGGTCAATTTCCTCACCTCATCCGCCAACTCCATCACTATCTGCACCTTCTGCTTCAAGACCGTCAGCCTCTGTAGCACTGTCGTCGTGGACTCCCAAACGAACCGATCCTTGAATGATTGCTCAAATCCCTCCACCATCTTGAACTCCTTGCTTTCCGCCCACACATAGGTAGAGTCGGTGACATGCATGAGGAGGTAGTCCAGCTTCTGGTCGTCCGTCGCATTCGTAAGGAAGCACCTCATCGCCCTCGTGGCTTGGCTTAGCCACACCTTGGGGTCGGGAGAGCGCCCATCGAAGCGCGGGAGCTGACCCATAGTTGCAGCAATCGTTGACATGTTGTAAGTAGAGTCATGCACAAGATCTGTTTTCTCAGCCAGAGGGAGAGAGTGACATGTATGGGCCACCACAAAATCACCAACTTTGAAACTTTTTGACCTTCCTTCTTGAGCATCACCCGAATACGTATGACCTTCTCACTCCACTTGTAGTACGAGACTCCCTTCTCTTGGCCAGCACTTCCTTCCTTGTAGAGTTGCAGCCCTCCCCTCGTGCTTCTCTCCACTAGAAGGATGCTCCACCAAAAGTAGACTCTAAGGGTACTCCAAGGTAGAATGCGTAGGCTATGCACCAAGGTAGCTTAGAGGGAGAGATCGTGGCATTGATAAGAATGCACTATGAAGGATAATATGAGTTATACACAACCTACAAGGGCATACCCAAACCACCATCCTTCTACCTTATTCATGCAATCCTAGAAATCCTTTCCCTATTGGCCGAGGATACTAGCAATCCAACCAACCAATGAGATTGTGACACGACTTTCAGAGGAGTGTGCAGTGCAGTCGTCAAAGGATTTCAAAGCTCAGGCATACAGCACACTCAATAGAAACATATGAATACAAATAATGTGTTGAAGCAATAATGCTGTGCTATGGATGGAATTGAAAGGGAGTGGGGGGGGTGGGAGCAAGAGAGTTGGAAATTGCAAATGAGACTAGGTGGCAGGTCCCCAAGACCTGCCGAAAGAAGAAGGAGCTTGTCTCCTTTATAGCACACACCTCTTTAAAACGAATCACAATCTGTAAATTTTTTATATGAAAAATTTTCTCATATTGTGGCACGACTTTCAGAGGAGTGTGCAGTGCAGTCGTCATAGGTAGAACGAGACATCAAGAAGGCGGCCGGCGACGATGGCGTTCCAATGTAGCTAGATAGCGTGTGGCCGAGCTAGATCGAAGCGGGTCTTGAAGGGTGCGAGAGGCCTCGACCAGCTCACGATCTAGCTGGGTAATATACATTTCCTTGGCCGTGTCACTACGCCACCGACCGAGAGCCTTGAAGAGGCGATCGGGGACGCCAACATCAACCGCCACGGTCGCCGCGGACTTTCGAAACGAGTGGGTGCCAAGATATTCCGAGTTGAGGCCGACACGAGCGAAGGTCTCGCGACACCAACCTCGAACGGTCGCATAGGAAGGGGATCGGTCGGATGGAGACGCCCGTGACCCAGGCCGGAATATTCGAATAAGTGGGCCTATGGTATCCATGGAGTAACCGGCGATGATAAGAAATTGTTTGACTCACGAGACCGGACAGTGGCGAGCAGAGGAGGCAGCCACTGGGCCCCACGCGCCCCTTGTCGCCTGCTTGGTCGGTCTTCGAGCGAGGGATGAACAACCACATGCAGTCTGCATCAAACTCGATTTGGTGCCATTGAAGGGAGATCAGGTCAGAAAAGCGCAGGAAGGCTGCGAACATCAGAAGGGGGACTAACCCTCGTTGGAACGTTGCCGGATCTGAGGAGGCGAAGTAAATTTCGCAAATGTCGTATATTTTCGAAGGAGGTATGGGCTCTTTGGCCTGAGATGGTCGTATGCAGTGACGGTTGGCTTACTCCCTCACTTGGGACGAGAGTGGCCATTAATGGGAGACTGTTCGCCGATGAGCCAGAGAGCACACGAGATCGCGGAACACGCGGATCGTATTGCCGAGATCGGGGCGCCGTTGCGAACGAAGTGCAGCAGGAACAGAGCGGTAGTGAGGTCACTTCCAGGAAGGAACGGAAGCGTGTGCCGCACGCAGAACGCACGATATTACCTCCAATATGGCTCATAGGTGCGAATGGTGTTGTGTGATGCTATCATTCGCAATCACGTCTGTCTGCCTCCCATCAAATGTTCGTGTGTTGCATGCGTAGTGTGGACGTGTGCAAGGATTTGTGTTCTGCGGTTTGGACTTCCGCTAAGGGGAAACTCTGCCGAAATTTCGTTGGCGCCGACACTTGTGAAAATATTGTGGGACTTCGGTGTGGACAGCAAAAGGGGGAGCTGAAACCTCTGATTGGGAGCAGAGGAGATGAGTGGAGAAGCAGCTGAGAAGAAGAGTGAACCGCCACCGTCCAAGATCGAGGCTTTGGACGGCTCCAACTATGAGGAATGGAGCGGGCGGATGCGGAGCGCCTTCAAGCGCTACAAGCTGCTGAAACTTGCGATGGGAGAAGAGAAGATGCCGGAGGAAGGTGATGCCCGCGACAAATGGATTGAGCGGAGCGCGGTGCTGTACGACCTCATCCTTCAATCGGTCAACAACGATATGTTCCAGCATATCAAGGATTTGGTGGAGCTGGACGACTCCGGACCGAAGGCGTGGAAGCTGCTACGCGACGTGGTACAACCCAACACGCTGCCGATGGTGATCGTATTGGAGAAGGAGCTGGCTGCCCTCTCCATGAAGCCGGGAGACGACGTGAAGCCGGTCCTTGACAAGATCAAGGACACCTATGCGAGGATGGCAGCGGCGGGCAGCAAGGTGTCGGAGATGCAGCAGTGCACCAAGATCATCTCGGTGCTTGACAATTCGTGGGACAACCTCATCCCCACCCTCAACGTTCAGCAGGACAAGTGGACGCCTGAATGGCTACGGCAGCAGATCCTGCAGGAGGACTTCCGCAGGCGCCACGCGGGAGGCGGTGCAGCCAACAAGACTGCTGAAGAATACGGAGCTGCAGGAGGCAGCAGAGGAAGAGGGGGAGGGAGAGGCCGAGGCCGTGGGAGAGGCTTTGGCAGAGGAAGAGGCCGAGGTGACTACAATGAGGGGCATGGGAGCTCTGGTGGCAGGGGGAGCACCCAAATGGAGGGTGCGTGCTGGTACTGCAAGAAGGCTGGACACCCGTGGTTCAAGTGTTTCAGCCGGCCTGAAGGATGGGCACCTCCAGGCATGAAGCCGCCAAGTGGTGAACGCGCACGAGGTGGTGCTGTGCAAGGTTCAGGTGCACAAGGTGATGGTGCACAAGGTAAAGCCGACCCTGGCTTGTTCCTCATGGTTGAGGAAGTGAAAGGGAGTGAGGATGATGTGGGTTCGGTTGGGAAGGTTGTGATGCACCCCCTCACTCACTAGGTAATTGATTCAGGCTGTACGAGTCACATGACTCCACGGGCAGACTTGCTCGATGAGGTGAAACCCCCTGGGAAGATCAAATTTGTGGCTGCCGCTTCAGGTGCTTTGCTCCCTGTGATTGGTGTTGGAAATGCCAAGGTGATGGGAGCCAATGGGGGACTTGTGGGACTTGGGAATGTCCTGCTAGTTGAAGGTTTATCCGCTAACCTCCTCTCTGTGCGCCGGCTGCAGAAGAGCAAGGCCAAAGTTACATTCGGCCCAACCAGCTGCCGTGCGAAGCTTGGGAAGCTGCTGCTGTGGGATTTGGAGGAGAAGAGCAGCTGCATCAAGGACCTGTGGCAGCTGCCCATCATCCCTTGGAACGGGAAACCGCCAGCAACGGCAAAGGCAGCGGCAGCGGCTAAGGCAACTGCGGGAGGAGAGGTGACTGCACCAACTGCTGGGGCCCTGGATGCAGTCAAGAAGGTGCAACAGCCAAAGCAATCACATGGTGAGGTGCTTGCTGGTGTGGATGCGACAGCTGCGTGGGCGAAGGCTTCGTCTGGGAGTGGTGAGGCCGATTGGGAGACGTGGCACGAGAGGCTGTGCCACATCAACATACCGATGCTGCAGAAGCTAGTGAAGGATGGGAGTTTGAAGGGGCTGGAGGTGAAAGGGGCAGCAAAGGAGATTGGGAGCTGCCCTACGTGCCTTGAGACAAAATTCACCAAGTTCCCGTTCAACAGCAGCACGGGACCAGCCAAGGCACCACTCGCGCTTGTGCACATGGACGTGGTGGGGCCCACGAGGGCCACTTCGCTCTCGGGCAGCCGCTACTTCTTGACCATCGTGGACGACCACACGCGTGCAGTGTGGGTCTACCCTCTCAAGACTAAGGGGGATGTGGCAGCGGCTGTTCTCAAGGAGTGGATGCCGAGAGCTCAAAGGGAGAGTGGACACAAGGTGAAAGTGATCCGCACCGACAATGGGGGAGAGTTCATTGGCGCTGATTTTGAGGCGGTGCTGAAGAAGAAGGGCATTCAGCATCAGCTCACAGTGCCCTACAACCCGCAGCAGAACGGCGTGGCTGAGCGGTTCAACCGGACCCTGCAGGAAGGTGCTCGCACTCTACTTGGGCGTGCAGGGCTGCCGGATCCGTTTTGGGTGACTGCACTACGGCAGGTCGTTGTGGTGAAGAACAGGGTGCTCGCGACTGTGGGGGACAAGCAGTGGATCCCCTACACCAAGTGGTATGGGAGTGCACCAGCAGTCAACATGCTGAGAGCCTACGGCTGCATGGTGGTGTTTCATGTGCCGAAGGAGAAGAGGGGAAAGCTGGAGGCTTCTGGGAGATGGGGTGTGCATTTGGGACTTGCCAAGGATCACAAGGGCTGGCTGATATGGGACTTGACCAGCCAGCAGCTGACTGTGTCGAGGGATGTGAAGTTCCTTGAGTCCCTGTACTACAAGGAGTGGAAGCAGCAGCAGCAGAAGCTTCCTACTACACCGCTGATCATTGAGGCTGATGAGGTGCAGCGGCCTTCAAGGCAGGTGGAAGTGTCTGTGTCGGGGGAGGAGATCTCTAGGGTGACTGAGGATGAGGAAGAACCTGAGGTGGAGGAGCAGCAGCAGCAGCAGCAGCAGCAGCAGCAGCCGCAGCAGCAGCAGCAGCAGCCGCAGCAGCAGCAGCAGCAAAGTGCGGCTGACCGTCCTAGGAGGGATGTGCGCCCTCCCAACCGGCTGACCTATCCGAGCTTTGGGAAGCCAAAGGTAGTGCGGGCTGGGAGTGTGGCTGAGCAGTGTGATGAGGAGGAGATAGCGCACTGCTACTGGGCAGCCGTCCCTGAGCCCAAGACGCTTACCGAGGCCTTGAGTGGGCCCGATGCTGAGAAGTGGAAGCAGAGTGTGAAGGAGGAGTATGACTCTCTGCTGGAGAACGACACATGGGAGCTGTGTGAGCTGCCTCCTGGGAAGAAGGCAATCTCTTCGAAGCTGATTTTCAGGCACAAGTACGGGCCTGATGGGGAGCTGACCCGCTACAAGTCAAGGCTTGTGGCTAAGGGGTTCCAGCAAACAAAGGGCAAGGATTTTGACGACATCTTTGCTCCTGTGGGGAAAGGGACTACACTGAGGACGATGTTGGCAATGGCTGCAAACCGCGGATGGAAGATCAAGCAGATGGACATCATTACTGCTTTCCTGAATGGGATCATCCTGGAGGAGCTGTACATGCTACAGCCTGAGGGGTTGGATGATGGGAGCGGCAGGGTGTGCAGGCTGAAGA